CTCATCGTCATAGCGGGTGGGGCGGGAGAGAAAACAGGAGCGTGTGGTAGCGGGTGACCGGCCGAAGCTTCGGCCGGTGCCCCGGCCCCAAACGTTTCCCTTCGGACTTTGGGTGCATTCTCATTGTGGTCAAAATAGAACCGAACTAGAGGCGCGTTAAATCTACGTGTGGTGTGTGGCGTGTAAGTTGGCTGTAAAAAATCCAGGTATAAGTCAGTGAAGAAGCTAGAACAGGCACGGTAATTCTACGCGTGAACTGCTAAAGGTATCTGCCCTTGGATTTAAATTGGACGGCTATGAAAAAAATCAACTTGCACAAAAAAAAAATTAGGCCGCACATAACAATCCTTTAATTCTAGGAGAGACCGTCTTGTGCAACAAGGAAATAATCGCATATACAAAAGCTACGTAGCTAACCCGGTTATGTACCAAAAAACAAAACTAGTACCAGCCTCCTGCATCAAAACCAACCATCTCCGTCGATCCATATCGGTGTAACTTCCATCCTGTTTACGATCGATCACTAGCAGGGAGTCGATCAGCGGGAGATGCCGTGGCCGTGGGACAGTAGGGCGGCCCTGGTGGACGCGCGGTTCTGCGCACGCCACACGACGACGTTAACGGTGACCAGATCGAGCTCCTTGCGGCGCCACGGGTTCGACGTCACGGACGCTGCAGGTGGAGACCTCCTACTTCGGCCACTACCGGGACCTGCGCTCTTGCTAGGGGCCGCCTCGCGACACCCCTTGCTCTTCGTCGAGGAGTCCACGTCCCTGATCGGCATGGGCCGTTGGGAGGCGTTCAGGGGGCGGTGCGCGAGGCAGACGGACCGCCTCTTCCTCGCCGTGGACAAGGCGTCGTTTTTCCAGGTGACGACCAACGTCCACGTGTTCCTCGACGGCAGGTCTTCAGGCGAGGGGGCGCCCGACATGGCTGTCCACGGCAGCTACTACCACGGCGCGATGACCGTCTCCTGCGGCGGCGCCGCCGTTGCGCAGATCGACAGGAAGAAGAACACCTTTTGGGGCGCGCTGTGTGGAGAGCGCGCGTACAACGTGAGGGTCAACCCGGGCGTCGACCAAGCGTTCGTCGTGGCACTCACCGTGGTTCTCGACCAGATGCATAATCCTGATTATGATTCACGCAGCTCTTCAAGTGGACATAAAAAATAACTAGATATCTTGATCACTGCCAGAGTGGCAATAGAAGAAATCATGTGTATTGGCAAATAGCGGCAGTCCAAAAAACTCATCTTGTTGGGCTTTAATCGAAGTTTTAATCGGCCTATATGGCAAATATCTGCAGCCTAAATATTTACTGAAGTTTCTTAATTGACACTTTATAGAACCACTAAATGACGCTAAATCACACCCAAGCCATTAAATTATCCGAATTACTTGTCGCAAAAAAATGTATCTAGACGTATTTTTAGTTTTAGATATATTCATTTCTGCGATGAGTAATTCGGAAGGGGGGAGTACTTCTGCGATCATAATAAGTGTCATGGTTTTAGTTTTTCTAATACCAGAACACTTATTATGAATCGAAGGGAGTACATGATCTTGTTTAGCGTGATGTCCCTCGAAACATAAACCCTGGCAGGTTTAACCTCAGGGACCAGCAAAAGCCAAAACTAATTGTAAAAATTGTTGACTGCATCATCCAAACCTTCGGAAGGAGAAAGTCGCGACGTGGCTCCACGATCACAATTTGATGCACCTCTGTGTTAGAACGACTCTCGCCCGCCTCCTCTGAACGAATCAGAAACCGCTTGAATCTTCGAGAACAACAATGGAGGTGGGAAATCCCCAAAAATCTGTTTCGAGTATCTTGAGTTAGAGACGAAGCCTTCTGGAGGGAATCCTAGATGATATCCACCCTTGAGCAGCCATTGGAAACAACAAAAATTTACCCCAGCTCTAGGGGTGTCTCACCGAGATCAGGTTAGGCCGCGGTGGCGATCTTGATCTTCCCCAGCACCATGCGCTCCGCCGGAATCGATGTTCCCCTCCCTGGGACTAGCGCAAACACTTTCTAATCACAAGATGTGTGGCTGCAGAGACTAGAACTCCTTCCACTCCGCGCTCTTGTCCAGAACCAACGAAGATGTCTCCGCCCGAGATCCTTGTCACTAGCTTCCGCATCTTTTCATGGCCATCGTGAGGGAACCTCATCGTCCTTGATATCTTCATCATGTGAAGCGCCACTACAATGTGTTCCTCCGACATAGGACGCCTCCTCCCATCGGAATCCATGGATCTCGCCTCTCAACTGGTGTAGACGGTAGGAGGGGCGGAAAATAGGGGCGGAGTGGGGCAGAGGACCTGCCATAGGTGATGGTGCTGTCGCGGTGACTGGGGTGGTGGGTGACAGTAAGGTTGTGGTAGTGATAGTAGGTGGAGGGGAGACAAACTATAGGGGCCCTCATTTGCAGGAAAATATCATGTGGAGCTTAGGCTCATGGACACCCTCTTATCTAGCCATCCAATTCTGCATCATGATTCGTGCAAGTACTTTTCTCTTTTTTGTCCCTCCCACATAGTTTAACATATGATCTTCAAACTTTTCAGCACAACAAAAGATTCTTGCTAGAATGTGGGCAAAAACTTTCAGATAATTTCGTGCATCATAAATACTACAAAAAAGATTTTTTAATTAACAAAATCATTTTCTATATTTTTCTTGGACAAAAAAATCTGGAAGTTTTATCCCACATTGTTCTAAGAATGTTTTGTTGTCCTGGAAAGTTTCAAGTTCATTTGTTGTTTTATTTTGAAGAAACAAAAAAGAGAAAGTTTTCATGTAGTAAGTTAGTTGTGTAGCATGGATCTCAAAGCAACATTAGATGATGAGGATAGGAGGTGTCCAAGAGACTGTGCTCTAAAAATCCACGTCCTTCGTTCGCACATCATGTGTTCAAAGGATTGAGGAGGAAAACATAGCACTCTTGAACATTATCTACCGGCGGCACCATCGACCTTCGATTGTGTAGCCAAATGAACTGCCAACTGCTATGATCGACCCGAGCTGTGTCGATCCGATGTTAACTAACCAATTGCCGCCAATATGATTTCTTCGACCTTCTTTCTTTGAGAGCCTCTATGTAGTAGTTCTCAATCGACTTCACATTTCATTATAGATTTTTTTTCATTTAAAACTTCAAAATATTCACCATGTGATAGTGCAAAATCAATCAATTTTACAGATATGTCATACAGATTAAAAAAAATATTCACCATGATGCAATATTTTATTTAGCTAGTGGAAAAATATTGTAGTGTCCGTTCTCAGAGCATAGAAAAATAGAGATCTTGCACATTGATGTCGACTAAGATTGAACTATTTCAGATTATGTCTTTTCAAACAATTTCATTTTCCTGAAAGCATGTATCATGTAATGCTCTTAATTTGCCAAAAAACGTAATGCTCTTAATTGCTTATAATGTTTGCCTATCGATCCACATCATTGAAAGATGGTGTAGAGTTTCTTTTAGTTTGTATAATGTTGTGTCGATGAATCTATTTCTTGTGATGCTATAAAACCAGAATTTCGAATTAATTGTGTGAAAATCATCCTTGTTCACATGGACATGGCTAGAAGTACTGGATGCTAAGATTCTTTTTAACAGACATGGTACCAGGCACATCCTACCTCTATAAGCATCTCCGAAAGACTGAGCAGGAAAGTCTTGAGATTGGCGGAGTCACTATAGGCATCTCGCTATCGAAAGAAACGTCGCCTCCTGCAATAAGAATATTTCACTTTTTTATGAGACACCAAAGAGTCAAAACTAGGTTTGATCCTTGGTAGGCTGAGGGTACAACTAGCCTCCTAACCATCCAACCACATATTCTAACTTTACATCAATTCACGAGTACCCGACTTGTCATCAATTTAATTTTCGTTTCTGCAATTTGTGTGCACCATCATCTTTTCACTTTGACCACTCTGATTTCCTATTGTATGACATGTTTCCTATTCATCCCGTCTGGTAAATTTTAATATGGTTCATGTTGTAAAATGCTTACCACCAGCGTCCAATAGCAGTGCATCTCTATGACTGGAATTTAACTTTATGCACAAGTGACCGTTTAGGCCATAGCCCCCTGTACTTAATTCTAACCATTCCCAACATCTCTGCTCTTTGTGTCCTTGTGGTCACGCGAGGCATAAGCATACGATATTATTTGTTTGCAGTGATATAGTCACAAGAATCAATTCAAAACATTCTGCAACGTAGAAACTCAATGCAACCAAATACGTAGAACCAAATACTTTTCGAACATATAATAAGGAGTTAAAGGTTCATTTGCAAAAAAATGAGTTAAAGGTTAAGATGCCATATATGGGCCTAAATTTTAAGTGCTCGGTTAGAGATGCTCTTAGAAAGCAAACATACATTTTTTTGGAACATAGTACAGAGACAGCCACACATGCAATCATATATACACGCGTACACGCACCCCAATGAAACACACACTCTACCCCTATGAGCACCTTCGAGAGACTGAGCCAGCATATCATCTTGAGATTGACGAAAGCACCACAAGTGCCTCGTAGTCTGCGGGAATTTCTCCTCCCACTGAACGCGCATCGCTGGAAAATCTTGAAATAAATCCAGGATAATACGAGCACCTAGACTTCAACCCTGATGGACTGAGGATACAACTTTCCTCTATAACCATCCAATCACAGGTTGATTCGCACATACATTTTTTTTAGCGATTAGCCAAATAAACCGTCTTTTAGGTCGAGTACGTGTAGTCTGACTACGCAGCGAGAACGAAACACCTCAATTCTGAGCCCCTCCAAAAAACATTCTGAGACCTAATGTCTTGACAACAATATCCCAAGAAAACGTCT